GATCTTCGCCGCCCGTCAACTTCAGGAGAAGTGTCAGGAGATGCGGACCCACCTGTACTCTACCTTCGTGGACCTGACGAAAGCCTTCGACACGGTGAATCGTGAAGGACTGTGGAAGATCATGCAGAAATTCGGCTGTCCGGAGCGATTCACTCAGATGGTGCGTCAGCTGCACGACGGTATGATGGCGCGAGTCACGGACAACGGAGCTGTCTCAGAGGCATTCGCAGTGACCAATGGAGTGAAGCAGGGTTGCGTACTGGCACCTACCCTCTTCAGTCTTATGTTCTCTGCCATGCTGATGGACGCCTACCGCGACGGACGCCCCGGGATCCGCATCGCCTACAGGACAGACGGTCACCTCCTGAATCAACGGCGGATGCACTTCAAATCGCGCGTATCCACAACCACCGTGCACGAACTCCTCTTTGCCGACGACTGCACCCTGAACACCACCTCGGAAGAGGAGATGCAACGGAGCATGGACCTGTTCTCCGCCGCCTGCGAGAACTTCGGTCTGGTCATCAACACACAGAAGACGGTGGTGATGCACCAACCGCCACCCCACTCGGTCACAGCACCCAACGCGCCGCCGCAAATCAGCGTGAACGGAACCCAACTGCAAGTGGTGGAGAACCTCCCGTACTTGGGCAGTACTGTCTCCTGCAACACCAAGATCGACGACGAAGTCGCCAACAGGATCTCGAAAGCCAGTCAAGCCTTCGGTCGCCTCCAAAGCAGTTTGGAATCGTCATGGTCTCCAGCTGAGCACGAAACTGAAGATGTACAAGGCCGTCATCCTGCCGATGCTACTGTATGGAGCGGAGACTTGGACGGTGTACGCAAGGCAGGCACTTCGTCTGAACAACTTCCACCTCAGCTGTCTTCGTCGCATCCTGAGGCTAAAGTGGCAGGATCGAATCCCCGACACTGATGTGCTGGAACGGACGGGAATCCTCAGCATCTACGCCATACTGAGGCAAATTCAGCTGCGCTGGAGCGGCCACCTGGTGAGCATGGACGACGAGCGACTACCCAAACGACTCTTCTACGGAAACGTCGCGACGGGTTCTCGCCGTCAAGAAGGCCAGATTCGCCGTAACAAGGATACCCTGAAGTCCTCCCTGAAATGCCTACAAATCAACCCCACCAACTGGGAGGAGCTCGCACTCGATCGACCGACCTGGAGGAGAACAGTGAAGACAGGCGCTGCGATCTACAAAGCCAACCGCATCGCTGCTGCCAAAGCGAAACGTGAAGCCCGCAAATCACAACTTCGCCCAGTAAGCAACGCCGCCGCACAACCACTTCCAACGTGTCCTCGATGTCAACGGACTTTCCGGGCTCAAATCGGACTTGTTGGACATCTTCGGATTAACTGCGCCTCTCGAACGACACCAACCATCGGCCCCCCGCTTGCCTCTTCAATTCAATTCAATTATTTTTATTAATGACCCGTCGGGGTCCCATCAAAGCAAGTAAAAAACTTACATGCAAATTTTAGACGATGTAGGCTGAATCTGCACAAAGTGCAATGCATAGTTTTTGAGATTAGAAGTCCGTTAAGCAAAATGAAAATGAAAAAAACGAGGGGTGAATAAAAAACTCCAAAGCGAAATTTAAAATTGATTGTAGTAATTTAACAGGAGAAAAAAAACCCCTCAGAAAAATAGCATCAGAAAAAATCAGGGAGGACTGGCCTGCATGTGGCGGTACAGAATGGAATATAGTCCGACATCAACATGGCCGAAATAAATGTCAGCTGTATATGACATTGTGTAACGGATTTCATAAAATGGTACGTAGGCGGGTCGGTCAGAACTGGCCTGTATCGCCTTGAATTAGAAAAATAAGTGCCGAAATTTAAAACTAGTCTCAAGCCGATAGGAACCCAGATGCGGTCGGTTTCATTCAACCGAGTCCATCCGAACATGGGGTAAGGGAGATGCGACCAGACTACTAGTATATGGCGAATATAGAAGGCTTTGCCAAGACCGCCGATGGAGCGCATTCTGTAAGGGCACGATGACAACCAGTCTCGAGGCGACAAGAACCCAGATGCGGTCTGTTACATTCATCAGAGTCCATCCGAGGATAGGGCAAAGGAGATGCGACCAAACTACTAGTATATGGCGAATACAGAAGGTTTCGCCAAGAGCGTCGATGGCGCGCATTCTGTGAGGGCACGATGCATGAACTAAAAAATTGGAATAATTAACATTTCTGGTGAGGCATCTCAGGTAGCGAGACTACTCATAAAGGAAGGAAACGTGAACAGATACGGAAATTTAATAGCGGCATGCTAAATTCCCGGTGGCCCTTTCTCAGTGTCATAGAAAAAGTTGTCTGGGAAGGATGAGGAAAATAAAAGTTTAATCGAGTCAGTATTCAGATATAGGAGTAGCCTTCTCTTAAAGGTGTGTAGATTTTCTGAAGATCTTATATTTATTTGAAGGTTATTCCAGAGGAAAGTATACCTGGAAGCGAAAAAAAGGGAGCGCTTAGAGGTGGAGGACGCTGGAGGAGGTATAATTAGAGACGAGTTGCGAAGATTGTATGGGCGACTACTAGGGGTAAGTGTTGAAATCCGAGGAAAATTTGAACTATGATTAATGCGAAAGAGGAGACAGAGGCCCGCTTCTAGTCTTCGAACCCATAAAAATTTTAGGTTAATTAGCTGACATCTATCTGAGTAGGAGATATTGGGATGTTCCCTATCTAAAAGTTTTTTAGAAAAACGTCTTTGGACATTTTCAATTTTTAAACGACTGGCTTCATTCATCAAACCAAAGAATGGGCAACAATACTCGAGAATGGGAAGTAGAAACATACGATAGAGCCTTAATTTAATTTCAGGAAGATAGAAATTGTAAGAAATAAAGCCACAAATCTGGGCAGCTTTGGCTGTAATTCTGTCAGCGTGCGGTGAGAGATCAAGATTACTAGTGTAGCTTAAACCTAAATCCTTGATGGTGGTACATTCAATCACAGGTGTTCCTTGAAAGACCACAGGTTGGGGTAGCCTATCAGGTCCAAAACACATATAACGACATTTAGACGGAGAGAATTCCATTAGCCATTTTGAGCTCCAAGCTGAGAGAGCAAGCAAGTCAGCATGGATTTGCTCCAGGCAATGAAGACTCGTAGATTTATTGAAAGAATATACACATTTGAGATCATCGGCATAAATAAATGATTGAGAATGTTTAACTGCGGCTGAAATATCATTTATGTAAAGCAAGAACAAAAGAGGACCTAAAACGGTACTTTGTAGGGCACCGCTCACAATAGGACTTTCACTGGAAAGTGAAGATCCCACCAAAACCTTTTGTTTACGATTAGACAGGTATGACCTGAGAAAGTCTGTTAGTGGACTGCGAATTCCCATAGCTTCCAATTTAATCAAGAGTCTTTTATGTGGCACTTTATCAAAGGCTTTACTAAGATCAAAATAAATTACGACAACAGATAGGTGATCATTACGAAGAGAGGTAAGTAGATCGAGAAACGACAGATGACATATTTCACAAGAGCGATCTGGTAAAAAACCATGCTGGGAAGGGCTAATAACTTGATTGGCTATGCAAAATTCGGTAATTTTTACGGCGATAATTTTTTCGAAGATTTTGGCTAGAGAGGGTGTTTTATGTACACCTCGATAGTTCTGTACGTCTGAACGACAGCTAGACTTAAATACTGGAATAATAATAGAAGTTTTCCAATAGTCAGGGAAGAAGCCATTTACGAGAAATACTGAAAAGATTTTGCTAAGCAGAGGAGGAAAATCTCTTAGCTGTTTTATCAAAGAGTTCGGGATATTGTCCGTACCTACTGAGTGAGAGTTAGGAAGATGGCTTATCAGTTTTTGAATACATTCAGGAGAAAAATTAATGAAGCTAAGAGAAGCATCAGACAACGAAGGAATTAAAGGGATCGGATCAGTTTCAATGGTGAAATGCTTGGCAAAGAACGAATTTAAAATTTCTGCTTTGCCTGACTCCTCTGTAATGAAGGCATCACTTGCACTATGCAAGGGCGGAATGACTTGGTAGGACTTAGCAGATGATCTCTGATGGAAGATCTGAGCAACTGATTTAGAAGAATTCATGTTACTAATAGCTAAAGACTCTCTACGCCTATGTCGCTCGAGCCTCATTTTCGAAGCTAGTTCAAATATTTCAACGATTCTTAGATGAACTGATAATGAACTCACAGAAGGATCTTTAAACTGCTTCCGTAGCTTTTTAAGTCTGTTTTTAAGAAAGTGTGGGATAGCGGTGGGATTAGCACTCGATTTGAAGATCTTCCGAGGAATAAGGTCAAGAAGACCTTCTGTTACGCATTGTAATCAATTGTTGAAAAAATTTAGATCATTATTTGAAAAAAATATTGTGTCAATCAAGAGTGCATGTAAAGTTATTTACTAATTCCATATTAACATTAGCAAAGTCAAAAATACTACGTTGAACTGTTGGCTTTGCGGAAATGGCAGCTGGAAGGCGACAATGGATTAATGCATGATCACTTGCAAAGAGGTCATGATAAAAATCCATAGAAAAAGGGAAGGTGCCATTAGAAAAAATTAAGTCTAAAACACTATCCTTTCTGGCCGAAGAGTGAACTAATTGAATCAGGTTTGAAAAGCAAATTTTTTCAAGCAGCTTCTGGAATTTAGGAGGAGAAGTACGTGTGTGCCAGTCAATTTCTGGCAAATTAAAATCGCCTACGATTATCTTGACATCGAAAGAAGTTTCTGCAATTTTTTTCAAAGAGTTCACAAAGTTAGCTTTCATTTCCGGAGGAACAAGGAGGATTATATACACATCCGACTAAGGCTTTCCTATTTTGAGGAAGGATTACCGAAACAAAACATAAATTTCCAGAGAAGGAGGAAATGCTCAAGTTATAAGACGATTGTGCAAGTGATGCTCTTATGTAAAGAAGGCATCCACCGCCGCGTCTGTCGGCACGGTCCTGGCGGTATAAACTGAGGCTATCTATGTTAAGTGCCGAGTCTGAAATTAGAGAGTGGGCCCGAGATTCTGTAATGCAAAATACGTCTGTGTCAAACTCAACAGCTACACTTCTTAGGTGTGCCATATTTTGCACGACAGATCTTACGTTGAGAGAGACAATACTGAGCGTATTCCTAATATGTAGGTTACGCTCATTGCTACTTATAAAAAAGGAAGAGCCGGAGGTAGAAAATTAAGCTGTTGGAACGAAGCAATTGGTGGAGGACAAAGTTGTTGCGGTCTAAAATTTATGGGGTAATTACTAGTTAGAGATGCAGCATTAGGTGAAAAAACATTTGAGGAGGACCCAGGAAGAGGAAAACTATTTTGTTGGATTGGAAAAATAGGAGACAAGAAAATAGGATTTTGGGAATTGTTAGCATAATACGAGGGGTAGTTTATGTTAGGTGGCGGACGTAATGGTTTCGGGAAACAGTTAACATCAGGAAAGGGCTTTATTATTTGGGGTGTCAGACTAGCAATGGGATTGGAAAATTTATCAGCAATGCAATATACTTGTATTTTGCAGTCTGATGTGTAAGAGGGCTTCACAACTGTGGCGTTAATTTGAGGATTCAGGATAGGAACGGGTAAAGACCTCCCTGAACTCTCATCTAGCTTATTAGACCTAACTGCAAGGTCAGACCTGAGTGGCCAGGCGTGGGAACGGGGTGGATTCGATGTAAGTTTATTAACCAAATCACTATCCTGAGTGCTGAGAGCCGGCTGTGCTTCAAGGACTAGCTCATCTTTACTGCTAAGATCAAGCTCCCTTATAAATTTGGGAGCCGCATTTGAACAATCCTTGCTCCGTGGGGGAGTTTTAAAGAGGCTAGTTTTAACCGTCTCTGTGATAATGTGATCAGTCGAAGAGCTAGATGGAACTGGGGCCGCTGTAGATAGTGGGGGGATTTGGTCGACACCAGATGGAGAAACTTCTTTAGAGGAAAAAGACATTTGAGTAGAATTCGGGGGTGGCTTTACGTTTGGTAATGGGGGAGAAATTTTTCGTTGCAGTGGAGTTGGGTCTCGAATAATAAAAAGTTTATTTGCCCTGAAATATTGAGTCGATCGCTCCAAATGGGAGAAAATAAAATCCACTTCTATCGATGAAAAGAGTTTGACAAGAATGGGTGGATTCTTGCTCCTAGATGAAAGCCTTTTAGCTTCCGCGACCCTAAAGTTGAAGCCGCATGAATAAAGGAAATGAAAGCCGACATCTATTGGCTGTCTACTCTTAGGAACATTTTTTAATATAAAGTTGAAACTTCGTTTGTGCCTGCCTTCAGTCTCAGTCGCAACCAGGTTAATGAGTGGCATGAGCTTCTCACACTGCTGAGACGTAAGCGTTGGCAAATTTCCGTCAAGAAGGGCACCAAGGACAGAAAAAATTGATCCGAATCGAGACATAAAGTTGTTAAAATCACCAAGCGTCCCTAGATAAATTTTTTTCATATGAACAATATTGTTCATATGGGTTTCAGATGAAGTTTAGTTTCCTTCAGATTTCGACGAAGGGTTGCTTGAGGTTTCATGCCGAAAACGCAATACAAGACTTAAGTCCAAATATTTACATGAATGATAACTGCCGAAACTTCGAGGATATATGGATGAGGCTATGTATTATCCCTGCCAGCACCAGCCCTCTCTGGCCCCCTCATGGCCCCGCCTCATGAGGGGGCTATGGCGGGGCCAGAGGGGGCTATGGCGGGGCAAATCCCCGATGTGGCCCCCTCTGGCCCCCTCATCGACAAAAAATGCGCAGGGGGACGCCTTATAGTTATCGTTTTTTGCCCCCACCCACGGCCATATTAGACTGTCTGACTGTAATACCGATCCATTAACGTCTAATTACTCGCGTTATAATCCTGATCACCCTTTGTCTAGATAGATTTTCCCCGGTATCTGTCCTATTTTATCCCTTGTTATCTTCTAGCGAACCCCATTTCGCCAAATATGTCATGTTTCATTCCGGCTCGCCATCCCAAAGCCAATATCTCCCGCGACCGTTAGCGGACGTTC